AGCCGGCCCAATGTTTCAAGTTAAGTTTAGCTTTTTAACTAAGTCTATTCAATTAAATAAGTCAGGTTTATTTTTATAAAACCTAACCTACAAACTAAACAAATCAACTTATTTATATATACATTATTATGTAATAAATTACACATGCATTAGTTTGATCATTTGATTTTTAATTAATTCATTTTTTATTTTCAGTTTTGCTTTCAATTGAATTGGATTTACATATTGATTTTAATGTTATTATTTTATTATTATCAAGGAATTCTTAATTATTATATATTATAATTAATAAATTATATTTATATATATTAATGGTCTAAAATGTTCAATTAATATATAAGTCTATTTAAAATATTTATTTTTAAATAATTTTTTAAATAGGCTTTTAAATTAAGTCATACTTTACTAAGCTCAAACTCATACATAGTTTAAAAAATTAAACAAGGCTAACCAGTGAATCGACGGACTGGCCATGTGTTTATTGTTTTTTTGGATGGGAAGTTGACTCAGGAAGAAACTAGATAGACCCATTTAACCCCATGGGTCAGGCAGGTTGAACAGGTCAATATTTCTTCCTCCTCGATGTCCCAAATCGAAGTTGCTTTGGGTTTAAAAAATTGAAAAAAAAAATCAAATAACAATGAGATAAATGCCTAAGCCTAAATGATGTGTGTCTGTTCCCTTAGTGCCCATTTATATTTCAATTAGGTATAATTAATTATAAAAATAATTAATGAATATGATTACTTTTAATCATAATTAATTATGTGATAACGTAATATGTTTAAATATTAAAATTGAGTTCAGCAATACAAATTACCATAAAAGACATTGTTTTTTAAAATTAAATTATTAATAAAGTTGTATTTAATATTAATAAATTTATTAAAATTTATTTAAGAAGTAAAATATATTGTTTAATAGTAAAATTGAATCTATAAGCAACCTCTCAGAGTTTATATCAAAACCTGATTCTAACTCAATAATCAATTATTATACAAAATTAAATTATTGATAAATTTATGTATAATACTATTAAATTTGTTAAATTTTATTTAATATCATTATGAATTATTGACAAATTAATAAGGTAAAATGAGGACAAAAGCAACTCTGAATAGTTTTTTTTTAAATCAATTTTAGCATGTTTAATCGATTACGGCAATTATATGTTGTTTGGCTAATTTTGTTTTAAAAATCAATTAAACACCAAAAAATCGATTCTGGACGCAAAACAAACAAGCATTTAGGGTTCGTTTAAATTTCAATTGAGTATAATAATTATAAAAATAATTAATTAAGTGATAGATTTTATATAATTGATTATGTTATAACACAATATGTTTGAATACTGTTTTTTAAAATTAATTTTAATAGAATTAAAAATATTAAATAATTTAATAAATTAATTTTTAACTATATAAATTTTATATAATTTAATTTTTAATATTAATATTAATTTTAAATATACAAAGTTTAAATTTTATTAAAAAAAAAAAAGTTTAATTTTATTTTTATTAAATTATGTGTTTTTTTTATAATTTTTTTCAGCCTGTTTTTATAATTTTTTTAACATTTTTGATAAACTTTTATTAAAAAGCTGATCGAAGTTGCTTGCGAGAAAACGTGCATGGGTTCAGAATCGATTTTCATCTTTTTCTTTGACTAATTTACTGAAAAAATTGATTTTGGGAGAAAAAAATCCAAACACACACTCTTCCGTCTTCCTTCCCTATCCCTCCTCGAATCCAACATCAAGGACGGCACCAATGACCTGGCCGGAGGAGGCGGGGTAGCAGCAGGGGTAACCATGCGAAGAAAGATAACTAGGCATAGTCGAAGAAGAAATTCTGGGCCTAGCGCTGGTAATGGAAGATCGAATCAGAGGAAGTATTCGGAATCTGCCTGAAGCCATCTTGAGAAGGCTTCAGATCTAGAGGGAGAACTATTGGCGCCGTTTAGACATGAGAAGGAATCCTGGAAAGCCTTTTGAGTATATTAGGGTTTTGCTTGAGAAGCGGGGGTGTGGCCGTGTTTTGGGAAGCGAGTGATGTCGTTTAAGGGTTGGGACTCCAATGATCCAATCTCACCTGCGCTTTTGTGGGAAGCTCTCTCAGTCTCAATTGGCATTCTAAAATAAGATTAAAAAAAAAAAAACTTCTAAAATGTTGTGGATTTGAAACAAGGGTACCTTCTCTGGCCCATCATTCATTCCATTTTCATTTACAAATGACGAGATTACAATTATTTTCTTTTTTTTTTCCATTTTGTGCATGAATTAATAAAGACCACCTAGCTGTCAAGAAGAAAGTAAAATAACATTTAAGGGATTGTGTTATTAATATTAAAAGAACATAAAACATTATGAAGTTATTAAGTATGACTAGAAGCCAAATTAAAAATAATGTTAAATATAAAATGAGAAAAATATTTCTTACTTTTATATCTATTATCAAGTCTAGTATTACACAAATATATACTCACTCTGTTCAAAAAATATAAGCATTGTTAATCGAATCTCATTTCTCAATAAAGTTATTATCTAATTTCTAACTAATCGTATCTTTTCATATTTATCTCTATAGATGAATGTATTGAAAATTAATATGTTTTTATTTAAATTATTTTATTTTATTATGACCGATTTCACTCCCGGTTAAACCCCTAACCTCAACTGATTCAACGATCGATTCAATTTTTAATACTTTTTAAAAAGAACCTTATACAGACATAAGCATCTAACCTACACACATGCACAAGTCTACTTGAGCAAAACTTAGTTCAACCTAACTTATTTTCAACCACAACTACTAGTATAAGAATCAAGTTAGAGAATATCCCTATAAATATTCTTTAAGACTAGAGGCATGCTCTTATCATAGTCAATCCCCAATCATCCAAATCCAACTTACTTCAATTTGTTTATAAAAAAATAAAAATAAGTGCATTAGATTAAGTCATTCAATTAACCCATAGTCAAATTAACGGCCTTCCAAATTAAACATTACTATTTATTAATTACCCTATCCCAAGGACCAAATCCAAGTCAAGTCAACACAACTAACTTCAAAAACAAATTTGACCCAGCTAATCCCGGATATTAAGAAAACCAACTAATCATTCCACGTCACAACATGACAATAATCAATTACCCTCTTCCCCTAAATCTCTTAAGTGCTAACTATATTTAACCCCACAAATCCATCATCCACTTCTTCGTCATAATCTGTCCTCAATCCTCAAAATGATTTTCAACCTATCCAGTTCATATATAAATTAAACTAGACATTTTGCAGCATAAAAAGAGACTAATAATTTGGCATTCATTCATACATATGTGACTTCATTGTCTTAATTAGTCTTAAAGATAATTTTCTCATAGTGAAGAAGGACACCAAATTTGACGTGAAAAAATCAAGCAACTTGGAGCCTCACAATATCATTCACGGAAGAAAAACCTAACTTTGTGTTTCAGAGAAGAACAGAGAGAGGGAGATTGTCTCTCTTTTTTTCTGTGATATTCACGTTGCAGAATCGATCATGACGAGGCTGCAAACCGATCAGGTGGAGCAGCTGAGAGAGATATTCAAGCACTTCGACATGGACGCCGACGGCAGTCTAACCCTCCTTGAACTCGCCGCCCTTCTCCGGTCGCTCGGAATCAAGCCCGGCGGCGACCAGCTTCACACGCTCCTGTCCAACATAGACGAGAACGGCAACGGCTACGTCGAGTTCGACGAGCTGACCAAGGCCATCCTCCCGGACTTGCATGGCGAGGAGATCCTCATGAATCAGGAGCAAATGCTCGAGGTTTTCCGGTCGTTTGACCGCGACGGCAACGGCTACATCACCGCCGCCGAGCTCGCCGGCTCCATGGCCAAGATGGGCCACCCCTTAACGTACCAAGAGCTCGCTGATATGATGAACGAGGCCGACACCAACGGCGACGGCGTCATCAGCTTCAACGAGTTCGCAAACATCATGGCCAGATCCGCCGCAGATTTTCTTGGCCTCAAGGTTATCTAGGAGCTTAATTAATTCTCGTTATACAGGCTAATTAAGGGTTTCATTAACTTTTGTGTATATCTTCTTCTGCCTCCTCTTTTTCCTTATTTTTTTTTTCTATGTTCATTAGGATTAAAGATTGAAAAAGAATATAACTTTTCTGATCAAGTTGATGATCTCTTATTGTAAATTAATGCAACATGTAAATAGATTTGATGCATATTTACTCAATTTATAAGAATGTAGATTTCGGAATCTCTATGGAAAGCAAGAAATGAAAACTGACTTTTCTGCGTAGCTTTTATTTCTTTTTTAATTTCTCAGTTTCTGGAAGAACATGCCTTTGTGTAAAGCAGAAACTTTTGTGTGCATTATTTATATTTATATGAAATTAACATGACAGATTTTGCAGATGCAACCTGATTAAATTTATGTATGTATATGTTGCGTAGACAAGCATTAACGATTTGATTCATGAACGTGGATTAATGCCGCTGATAAACTACATATACATGAACTCATGCTGGTACATTATCAGGTACTAGAGAAGATATGAATCTGACTTCTTCTTCTTGTTTTTCTTTTTTTTTTTTAATTTCCCCAACTTGGAAGAACCTTTTTTTCCCCCTTCTCTGAATTTAACGTGATGCATTATATATTTACTTTAACTAGTTTGCAAATGAGCTTCATGGAAGCAGATTAGGGTTTAATTTGTCTGCTACTACTTCCTCTTTCAATATATATATATATATATATATGATCAAACCGACATTATAAAATATTATTTATCATTCAGATTACGCAACTTGTAGATTATATACATAACTCAATTTGGGGTTTGGAATTGACAGAAGAAATGAATCTGACCTGTACGTAACATGCATTATTGAATTACTATCATCATTGTTTATATTATATCAACTTTACATAAATTCATTTTTTGGCCTGTGCGCGCGCGCGCGTGTTTAAGATGCAGAAAAATGGAAGGAATGATGGAGCAATTTTAAATAATAATGAGACTTGAAATACCTCAGAAACAAGGGAACTCTGTTCTATTTCCTATAAATAGGATAAAAGCAACTCTAACAAATCCTACCCAAAAAAAAAAAAAGCACTCTTGCTTCTCTATACTCTAATATCTTCTACGATACAAAAAGCTAAAAGAGAAAGCGAACCACTATGCAACCTCATATGGCCAAAGAACAAATATACAGAGAGATTTATTCTTCTTTTGAACTTCACAACCAAATGGTGGTTCCAAGAACCATCTTCAGGGGAAGCAAACATGCTTTTTTTCTGGCCGAGAGGAACCAATTGAACAACTCCAAAAGGATGGGCAAACAAGGTGGAAATTCCAGGCTGATATGAACAAGCTAGCAACAACCTTTTAAGAATCAAACAAGAAACCTCAAATTAGATCATCTATGGTTAGAAGTTCTGTTCTTATTGTGGCTAGCCTTCTTAGCTTCTAAGCGTGCTGTTGGACCAATGGTTACTCGCCCCAGTGACCTCTGTCTCACCATGGCACAAAATTCTGGATCTTTTGCCTTCCCCTCGTACCTTAACCATTGTATCACTTCATGGTACATGGGAAAGAACCTCATCTGAAGTGCTGAGTAGGAGAAGTAAGGTATTAAGGTTGAGATCACCACAAAGAAAGTCACAAGCCAAAACATGGGAGATGGGGCGAGCGTTTCAACGAAGACTTCATAGGCATTCTTGGAAAAACCTGGTGGCATTGCTCCGTATATCATGAGGAAAAGGTACCAGAAAGCAATGGTGCCCCAGATGAAAATATGTTGAATCAAGGTGAAGTAACTTATGGCAAGTGCCATCTGCAAGTTCACAACCCATACAACGCAGGTATACATGGTTGCTCCGAGTATATCCCTCCCGGCTGTTCTTCCGTCCCTATCAAAGGCCTGAAGCTCCATCGCTTTTGTGCAGAAGAAGAAAATTATGATTGCACTTATGAATCCATTCAGCATCCAGGTAAGTATACGGCGCCAGCTAAAGAGGACATTCTGCACTCCTTGTTGATATAACTGAGGAAACTGCACGGTGAATAGAACTGATAAGCATCCAATCATCATGAAGCAATAACCAGGAATGACATCAGTTGTCAAAGGGCAAAAGATTGAAATCATTCTTCTTCGTGCGGTAGCTGTGTTTTAAGCAATATGCTACAATGTTGTCACAAATCAACCAAAATTCATGTCAAGTACCGCACTTTGCAATAAATATTGAACATTTAATGTCAACTGAAAGTTGCAGGACATGCGATGATTGTTAAACATGAGATATTGATTCAAGAAAAAGAATGTACCAGTATGACCAAGTCAAGTAACAAGTAAACGATATGTAGTAATTTTTATAATATGAATTTAAAATCTTTTAGAAAATATTAAGCAACTGGCCAAATCAAATGTGCCCGTACTGTCTCCTTATAGGGAATTTTGTGTGCGGAATTCCTCTGATCTCCAATTAACAAGCATACTGGCTCCTGAGATTCTTCATTACAAAAACAAGAACGCATATAAGAAGTAGCTTTACCTTAAGACAGTACCGGGCAGAAACATCCTGGTCAAATACGCCAAGAGCAATGACAGGGAGAGATGAGAAGAAAACGTTGTAGAGAGACAAAAACCAGTCATTGTAAGCTGGAATTCCGGAGAATGATGCATACACTTCATACAAGAAGAGAGTGAATCCAAAAGTGACGTTCTTGTAGAAAAAATAGCATATCTGCCAGCAGAAGAATGGCTTAGTCAATATAATCAACAAAGAAGGATCTGTTATTCTTTAAAACTAGAAAGTTGTGATGCAGGTATAAAAACAGCCATACCATTGATGAGATCCTCCGGTAACACCAATGTCCATGCACAAGGAGTAACCGCTCCAAGTACCTGAACTGGGCAATTGCAATATCGCTAGACATAACAGCCTGGCCATGGATTAAAAGAACAGAAGGGGAAGGAGGAAATAAAAGCTATAAGACACCAGAATATGGAAGAACAAATCAATTAGATGAAACATGTAAAATTTTAAAATTACCTGAATTCCTTAAACAGTCAAACATAAACAAAATGAAATGAAACATATAACAATTTTATGATCACCTGCATTCCTTCTACACCGCTAATTCCAACCCCTATATCTGCTTCTTGAAGCATTCCCACATCATTGGCTCCATCACCAATGGCTAGTGTTGTTTTTCCAGTTCCAGATTTAACAAGTCTAGTAACCTTTCAGAAAGGAATCAATCAAAATTATTTCATATAGTTTCAAGAATTATTCAAAAAAGAAAAAGGAACCATAAAATAATAGGCCACAATGTCAAAAGAGGGTGATAATTACAGATTAGACGAAAACATACCAGTGCTTTCTGCTTTGGTGATGACCGACAGCAGATAACTGATGCACAATTAAGTGCAAGCTCCAGAAATATGTTCTTCATGTCATCCTCAAGAGCATATGTAAGTGATTTTCCATCAATGATCAGAGCAAATGCTTGCTGAGAAGTCCCTCTGGAAACAGCAAGTTGTGCAGTAGCTTCAGATATCTGACGTTGGATATTTTCCCTTGATGCCTGACGAATGAATCAGCATAAAGACATCAGGACTCTAATTTTTTTCCCAGCAATTTCTCTCTAAGGCATTAATCAACTCCTTTTCCGTGCCACAAAAAAGAGACAATTTTGAAGTGGGAAAAGAGGAAAGGAAGACAACAGCATAGAATATATTGCAGCATACAGTTGAAGCATGGTCAGCAGCATCTAACTCAAGGAATACAACCATGCATTGTCTTCTTAACTTCCATGCACATTTTGAAACAATATCACAAAAAGGAAGGCTAGGCAAATGGAGTTATTGAAATTCTTATGTCTCTTTGTCAAGTTGTTTTATTGACAAAACCGGAAAGGAAGAATCCATGTGATATAACCTCATTTTTTCTAGCGATGTAACACATGTTCAGCTCCTTGTGATTGAATCTAATTAGGATCTTAACATTCAAGACTCAAGAGAACCACTTTGTTTAGAATGCTCACTGAAAATACAAAATACTCATCATGCAAAGTACATTACTGTAGACATAATTAGATGAAGGGCTAAAATCAATATTACCTTGGCAATAGCAATCTTTTCTCCAGCCTTTTCTAATGCTTTAATATCTGGAGTATCCAGATGAATTATAATTTGCTTCATTCCTTGTCTAAGCAAACTACAAGCATAACTGAAATTGCATGCTTCTGTCAGATATCTGAAAATGTAATTCTCATGGAGAAGCCAACATGAAAAGGTCATAATATCAATTTAATACCCAATATTGATGGCGGTCTCCATTTTATCCCCAGTCAAAACCCAAATCTTGATTCCTGCCTGAGCAAGTTTGTCAATGCAATCAGGAACCTAACAGAATATGAGAAACATCAATAAGCCATAATCAAGTCCATTGATATCCATCAATTTAAAACACAAAACATTACTTTTAACCCACCCCATTTTGGAGTTTGTCCTCTACAGCAGTGGCACCAAGAAGGATTAGATTCTTCTCAATCTTATCTGATACTTCATCAATCAGTGTCTCTCGATCTGCACAAACTGAATTCTTGGCCAGAGAAAATTTTTCATCGAATTCCCTGTATGTTTCTTCATCAAGTTCACGATAGGCCAATATCAAGGTCCTTAGACCTGCATCAGCATACTCTTGCACGTGTTCAAGGGTTTTCTCTTCAAACGCCCGCCCATTCTTGGCAACCCTTTCAAACATGACACTTCATGGAAGTATAGAGCAGGTCAACATGGTGAAAAGTAAAGGTAAGGACTTTAAATAAAAATCCTCAAAAGCTGGAGGCCATTTATCACAAACCTGTCAGCACCTTTACAGAATAGAAAAATTTTGCCACCTTCATCTTTCACTATCACTGACATTCGCTTCCTAGAGCTATTGAATTCTAAAACATTGAGAAGCTCATACATCCTGCAAAATTGAAACGTTATCACTATGCATTAGTTGACATGGAGACATTAAATCCCCACATACAGTATCTGAAATTAATAATCTAATCGGGAGCATAGCATTTCTGAAGTCACTAGTTAAGCATTATTAGCCATGAAGGAAGCAGGTCCTCAATCCCAAACAAGAAAACAAGACAATTAAAAAAAAAAACAAGCAGCAGCTGTAGCAAAGAATAGGTGACATCACAACACCTTCTAGATATTACAAAACAACATCAAACCATCAAGTAAACTTCAAGATAAGACACTGGGATTCACTGGTGTTAGTCAAGTGCGCAACGCACTTGTTCTGTGAGCATCAGCTGCAATCTATTTAATCAGAGCAGTAAGGAGAGAAAAATGTCTATATTAAACTCTACACGCCCATACAGTAAGTGGCTAGATAAGTAACAGAATGGATGTGGCTATCCCATGCTGCTCTTGTTACAAATTTGTGAGAAGAGAAAACATTATTCTCATCGTAACTTATTATGAAATAAAATTAAAAAAAAAAACTCCACTTGTTCATTGGCTATGAAAAATACAGCAATCATTTTTCACATAAAAATAAAATGCAGCAACCAAAATCACTTTTTAACTAAGAAACCAGCAAATGAAAAAACTGACCTTTCAACTTTTTCACCAGAAACAGGGTCCAACTCATACATTGATAAACTTGTCTGAGTTCTTTTGTAGAATTCAAAGCCAAGTTCTTTTGCTGCAATCACAAAGGCTGCTTCATCTGGGGACTCAGCTTCATACGAGATATTTCCAGTGTCTTCATCCACTTCAGGGATGGCTGTATGACAGGTCGCCAATAAGTGAAAAAACTTCTGGATAACATCTGCATGAGGCTCATTAACCCACTTTCCATCCATTATCCTTTCATCTGTAAAATTAAACCCTTTGATGGGGGCTTTTGTAACAGTATAGTCCCTGATATCATCTGATCCACTATCTTGCTCAAGAATCTTTGATGAACCATTTTTTTTATTCATAGCTTTTTCCACCTCAGTAACACCACGGCCATAAGCTACCCCAGCAATAGAACATTTGATGAACTCCATCGAGTTGCAGGTCAAAGTACCAGTTTTATCAGAAAGTATTGTATCAACTTGGCCAAGTTCTTCATTCAAATTTGAAGTACGGGCATGGGCTGGTTTGTCTGCTTCCTCATAGTACATATGGATATCTTGATTGATAAAGATGCTCTGAAGGACTTTAACAATTTCTATTGATACATACAAGGAGATTGGAATAAAGAAGCCATATAACATTAAGGCTGTCAAACAATGAAAAATTGCAGCAGATAGTGATCTTTTCGGATCAAAGAAAATTGTAGAATCATCTGGTCTAAGATACCATCTTTTCATCAACCCATTTTCCAAGTCATCTTTAGTTATAATTGCAAAGAAAATAGATCCAACAGATGCCATTAGAAAAAGAATACAAAACAAGAAATAGATTATTTTATCCATCTTCTTCTCAACCTTGCTTCTCTTTGAAGGGGGATCAGTAGAATTTTGAATAACCTTCGTGTCATGACCAGTGAAAATGACAGCTCCAAATATAAAGTCTGTATTGCGGAGTTTAGAATCTCTCAAGAGAAGTTGCTGATGGGAAAGGGGATATTGTTTCTCTTCAAACTCAATGCTTCCAACAAAAGAGTACAAGTTGGCATTTGGGTCTTCACATTTAACTGTAGCTTTAAAATCACAGAAGTTGAGATCCTCATGCATGGAAGAAGTTACCTCCAACCCTTGTTTCAGCTTTAAATTCGTCTCCCCATCCAAGTTCATGGTCTCAACATAGCAGATTGCATCCTCATAACTGGATGAAAGCAAAAGCAGGTCTGCTGGAAAGAATTCGTCCTTCTCTACCTTCACTATATCTCCCACTCTCAGATTCTTCCATGCAGTATATTCAAATACACCACCACCTTTATGCACTTTAACCAGTCTATTGTTCACCTCAATGTCCTGAAAAGAATTCCAATAGCAAAACTTTATTTTGACTTGACATCCTGCAATAAAGGGCAACAATTCTTTTCTTGGCTTCTTAGCCCACTTTTTGCTACCAAATAGACTATCATATATATTACATGAGCATTTTGGCATTTTTAGCATATGCAATAACTTTGGCCTCTAATTTAATTCCATGCAGATATTAAATTGAAACAAAACATGATAATCATAACAAGATTTGCGCAACCTAAAATTTAAGAAATGGTGTAGCATATTATGGATAAGACTTCATTTTGGACATTCCCTCTTCTGAATATCGTCAATTTTTACAGGTCACCAAGAACCTTGAAATCCATTAATAAATTAATTATTGGAATCTGAGAAATAGCATTAGCAAATACTGAAACTGTATGAACAAAGAACATAGTAATTGCACTTTATCCTGTTTGCAGTTCATCCCATTAACACATACCAGGAATCTAGACGAAAAGCTAGATTCTTTCACAAGTTGTCTTCCATGAATCACGAATCATGAATAATGCCTTTTCCGTCCACAATCTTGATAAGGCGATCATCAAGGAGGATCAATCGATATCTATAATTAGACTCTTCCATAAAGAAAACTTGAAAAAGGATCGCATAACAACAAATCTTTTCATGTCTTAGGAAGACCCCTCTAGCCCCATAAATTACTCAGACCTTCAGAGAATTATAAAGACAATTAAAAAATAAAATAAAAACTGCAAACCGAATATGAGGCAAGGATAATTAATAGTATTCATTTTGGTTCGAGAAGTCAAGTTCATAAAATGAATATCATGGACAACAAAGTAAAGGGATTGGCAAAATACAGTACCTGCTTCTTCCTCCGCCAATCTTCAATACCTTCTTTAATCATTGTTGCCCCAATAACGATGATCAGAGGAACGATAGCGCTAACAGCTATGAAGGGAGCAAGTGGGGTGAAGGCTAAGGTTCCAGTAACCAAGAAATAGAAATTAGCTACCCTCCTGAATTGCTCAAACAGTGATTTGGGCAAGAAAGTAGCAAGAGTATATTTTGTAGACCTGACAGAGTTGTCAGTATAATCCCGAATTTCAGCCTCAAGGATATCTGGTTCATTGCAGAAGACCACCCTGGAATAACCCCGTCCCCCAATCTGTGAATAGTCTTCGTCAAATGATTGTCTCCCGCATGCGAATGAGTAGATCTTGCTGAAGCGGAGCTTCCTTCGTTTTCCACCTTTCATTTTTTCTCCACGTCACCAAATTAATCCAATATCAACGAGGCAGAGGAACCAGTAAGATGAAGTTCCAATTGCTTGCCCTTTTTGAGGAGATTATCTCCAACAACAACTACGGCGCTCCCAAATTTCAAAGCAAACCCACCAACCAGAATACTTGAATTAAAGTACCTATTTTTCGCAGGCCAAAATCCTCAATGTACAGCCTCTTAGTAACCACCTAGAATCACATACAAGCAGACGAAACTTCAGAACACAAATGCCCAGAAAGAAAAGAAGAAAAGCTGTACAGGCTATGGATGCAGAACCCCAGAAATTTTCCAAGCCAGAAGATCAAAAGATGAGTAATTTAATAAACCAGCTATGGATGAGCAAAAATAGTAAAAAAACTAAGAGAATAATCCTGATCAACAAAAGATGACGCAAGTGTAGACAAAACAAGCGATACGTACAACCAAAAACAGAAAAAACCAGGCCTGCAAAATTCTCTGTTAACCTCTCGTTGACAACAATGTGGAATCTGCTTCCCAAAGGAGAAAAACACACAGCAGGCACACCTCACAGAGTCTAGAAGACGAAAATTTTATCTCAATAACAGAAAGTTCTGTGAAGCACAGTGTAAAGCCAAATACAAGGACCGACTAAATCGGAGATGTGAAAGAATCTGCAACGATGGCGCAAGAGATGTGAAGCTTTGAATGAAGTCGTGAATTGGATCTCGCATTCCGACTTCAAAGAAAACGCGCATTTCATTTCAAGCGTGACAACTCAAACTGGACTGGTTTTCCCAGAGGTAGACGGCGACAACGAACAAACTCACACACCGGAGACTGAGAATACGGATAATTTAATTTTTCTTTGCGAGGATAATTTCGGAAATTGCCATACACAGAGTTGCAGAAGAGCGACGGAAGATGTTACATAAGTAAGTGAGTAGGGTAAGGTATTACTTTCTCCAATTCGCGGGAAAGCTATGGAAACGGAAGTCGTCAAGGGGATGACTCACTGGGAAGACTCTCTCTCCAAGAAACTTCGCACACTAAAGTACAGAAGAAGAAGAAGGAAGGGAAAAACAAAAAACAAAAGAAAAAAAGAGTATCATCACTTTTTTCCCCCTAATCTGTATCTAACTAAATAAAAAATGATTAAAAATCCAAAAAAATACTGTGGGTTATTCAGATTTTGTCTTCTTCTGAGGGGGAAAAATTGCAACCTTGATCAAGATCACATCACAGTGAGCATAAAACTCCAGAAGCAGAATTGGACATGCAAGAGTGACAAACGAAGAAGACGAAAAGTTCGTGGAAACTAATGAAAAAATCGATAAATGTTAGTAATTTGATAAACTGGTTCTATTCTCATTTAAATTATAAGATACTTTCAATCATATTTTACCGACTAATAAAAGTAATTATTTCTTTACTCACATTAATTAATAATTGATATAAGGATAAATTTTAAACACAAGAGAGTACAATATTTAACAAATAAATTGAATTGAATATTGGTTCAATTTTTTTTTTAAAAAAAAGTGATTGAATATTGATGGACGAGAGATGCGCCGTCATGGCGGGGAAAGATTGTTCCATTGAAGAAGGCATTGAAATGGAGACCGACAAGTCAATAACTCAAATTAATCTACCCTCAAAGACGGGTCAGTTGGATTAACAGGACTAGGTACAGTGAAAGAAATTAATTTCCCGTAATAAATTAATGTTGAAATTCTTGAGAGAAATGTTTATCCAAATTGCTCAACCATGTCTCGTACGGAATACCTTTCAATGGGAAGGTTAGAGGACATCTCTAAACAATCAAAAAAAAAAATTATTTTAGTTAGAAAGAATTTGATCCTTACTCCCTCCAAACTAAAATAAACGGTTTTAGTAAATAATTTATAATTTTCAAAATATGTTAGTTGAAATTTTAATTTTTTTAAAAATATGTATATCTTTTTAACTATACTCTCATTAACAACTTTATATAAATACTTTGTTAATAATAACTAAAATTTTAATATATTTTTTAAAAAATAATAATAAATAAAATAGGGGCATAATTAAAAAAATTATAAAAATTACTCAATGCCTTATATTTTAAATCAAGTAAAACTTTTAAAAAATATCTTGTATTGTAATTCTAAAAAGGTAACCCGTAAAACCATGGTTCAAATTTAGTTGTCAATGTAAAGAATTTATTAGTAGGTGATTTATTAATATTTTTGTAATTTTTTTAGTTTAGATGCAATATTCTGGTCCTTGTGAGTTTGTCTTGGATTCAATTCAATTAAACTTTACTTTATAAAAAAATTCTAATTAATCCGAACCAAATTTTGGGTTGACTATGGCAGAATTTACGAGGTTCGGCTGATTGCATGACAGGCACGAAGGCACGAAGCGATAATTATGCATAAAAAATAAAATTGCAGTCAAAACTCTTATCTGAGAAAATTTGAAGATAAATTTGCAGAAGTGAGGTAGAATAAAATTTAGAAAATTTTCTCAGAATAATGACAAAGTTAGGGTCATGAAAAATAAAATTTTCTATATTTTATTTAAGTATTTTTATAAAGATAATGATAAATATAATAAATCGATAAGGGATGTTTTGAAAAAATTTGCCTAAAATTAGCCGACCATCCCCATGGAACCAACTCAAGAAATACATGCATTTAGAGTAAGGAATTCGGGCTAGTCAGTCGGGGCTATGTTAGAATAAGCCCAACCTGAATAGGTCCGAATCCGAATAGGACCAACTCCTTGAAAAGTTTGAATAGTCAAGTTTGACCCAAATTTCTTCAGGTTTCGAGCAGCCCAAATAACCGAATTTTTATTTTTAAAATTATTTTTAATTAATTTTTCAATTTAAAATTAATTATTTTATTTTATAAAAAATATAAAATATATTTTTTTGATACTTAAATGATGTATAGAACTCAAATATATGATATTTTAGTATAAAATAACCTAAAACTTAATTAATTAATTAATATTTATCATATTTAATATATTTTGTAAAAATAAAATTTTTTTATAACCTAAAACTTAATTAATTAATATTTATCATATTTAATATATTTTGTAAAAATAAAAATTTTTTATTCAAGTATTCTGGTCAAGCCCGAACTCGATCGGGAGCTTGGCCTGAATTTTCTTAAGCTCAAATAAGCCCAAACATGAAAAAATTATATTTTTTTTAAGTCCAACTTTAACTTTTTTTCAAGTGAATTTGGACTAACCCATCAAATTCAGTTTGAATTATCGACTTTAATGCATTCATGTTATGCTATCAATTAAGTGATCAACTCATCAAAAGTAGATATCCTTCGTGTCAGAAAAAGAATAAAAACTGATGAAGTTGAATTCAAAATATAAGATATTTTTTAATTATATTATAATAATAAGAAATAATTAGAAATAGGTTATGTCAATGAAATGGTTGAAGAAATTATCATTATTTTTTAAGATTACTCTATGATTAAAACCATTCTATATTAATTATTTTTAAATTTTTTATATAATCTCTCTTCGCTATACAATTAATAAGAACATTTGTAAAAAATAAAAATTTAACAATATTGATTTTTTGTTTAGTGATATGTTTGAAAAATACTAGTCGATATAAAAAATATCTTATATTTTGAATCAAAGAAAGTGTTCACTATCCTTTCCTACAAGTTGTTAGCCTGCTCAAATAAAAACATCTTTTTCAATAAGTTTAAAAACATCTTATATTTTAAAATGAAGTACATACTTTTGCTAATCATCATTATAATGAATGAAATTTCTTCTTTTTTTGTGAAAATGAAATTTAATTATTGTCAACTAAATAGGTGTCTTGATTCCTATTTTCATTTTTCATTTTTTATACATATTTATTTAATATTTGATATCATTAGATTAAATTCAGCATTTTTCAAACTCAGTTAAAAGTAGCATTTTTTTATTACTAGCAAACATTGATCTTAGTAAAAGAGGTTATGGCCATTTAAGCATATGATTTGGAATTTGAGTCCATATAAATATAAAAAATATTTTTGGAAGAGCTATTTTAATGGGGCTCACAAAGAGCAAATATGATCTAATTAGATAGCCATATCAAAATAATCAAAGTATCAATTTTTATATGTTTAACATAATTTTTTTTATCCTTTACTTTTGATCTAGCTTAAGAAAAATTAAGTTCTTCTCACTCAACTCAAATAATAGTGATATTATTTTCTATTTCAACGAGTTTTATGTTGGTATTTGAATTATGATGTCTAATAATACAATTTATTCATCTTAACTCTTAAGTCATTGAGAATAAAAGCAAGCAAAGATGACAACAAAAGTATATATTTCAGCTCATCAAAATTCAAAAGTAGAACCTATTCATTTTACAATTACCAATCAAATCATTCTTTAATTTGCCACCAAGAACTTGTGAAATAAAAGATGAAATAAAGACCTAAGCCACCCAGAGAAATCCCATTATTTTGTCTTTCTTTCTTTAATCATATATTACTCGTCTAAAAAATATCTCAAATTCTTTTACTGATAATTATTAGAATGGAATAAAATTTGGTTATTCATTATTATCAACTAATCAATTTTGATTGAAGAAAATCGAGTGTTTTCCACTAAATTAATTCAATTACTAGTGATAATATTTTAAAATTTAACAAGTTTTATTTTGGTGTATTTATACGTACTTGTATTACTTTTTCTAATAATGCAATTCATTTATAATTTACCTTCAGTCTTAAGTTATTAAGAAGAAAAGCAAAGTGACAACAAAAAGTGTATTTGCATATTCTTAAAGTTGATGTGAGGTGTTTGGTTGTGAGAAACAACGAATGAAAATTGATTGAAATTGCAAGAAAGTAATGTTGTTAGAATCTCAAATGGATTCGGCGGAATGTTATACATCACAAATTGGGACCTTACTTTTTTAGATAGGTCCAAATTTGGTGACTGAAGCATTGTTTTTATTGTTTCCAGATATTCGAAATACAACTAAATACTAAATAAGAATATATTTTTTAACAAAGATTCAAACATTGATTTGTTATAAAATGATAAACTAACGCATTCTGCTAGAATTAATCCTTGTTGAGGTTACTAAAGTGAACTAAACATAATTATCAAATACTTGGATCAATTGGCATGAGGTTTAAATTAACCAATGGTCTTAGCTCTTGAGTTTGAGTTCTGAAAATGTAACAATGTTAAGATTTTGTGATAGAGCTTACTGCTTGAAGGGTTTTTCTTGCTTAATCTAAGTTAGTTTAGGTCCCATTAAATCTCTTCAACTCAGCATAGAGTAGGCCAATGATATTGGGTGTCACATATGTGATGATTAAAAAAAAAACAAGAAGTAAACTTAGCTCATATATTTTGCTTCGTGCATTGTATAGAATTTAAATTATAAAGAAAATTTTAGTATTGATTAGTTGGTTAATTGGAGTTTCCCACAAGAATGTGAATTACAAGTTTTGAGTGAGCTTTCTGAAGGTTTAATTGATGTACTGTATAAGAATAGATTGGGTTTGACTTACCCACGATTAATTTTAGTCTAATTTTATTTGGACTTTGCCCCTCTATGTGCCAAAAAAAATTAAAATAATTTTTTATATAGTTAATGAAAAATAAAATGCATCATTAATTTATATCCTTTTGTGACATTGACATTGACATTGATTGGTATATTGATATTTTTATAGAAGAAAATTTAGCCTTGTTGAACTCCGTAAAATTATAATCAAAAGTTCAAAACAAGCCTGTAAGCAAATAGGGACTGTAATTACTTATATAGGTAATATATTAATAAAATTCTCATATTCATTGTCACGGAATTTGAACTCATGTCCCTATAGAGGTTGAGATATGTCTGTATTAACTAAAAGGATAATAACGCTTTTAGTCTATTAAATTTGTCATGTTTATCAATTTGATTCCTTAAGTTTAATTTATATCAATTTGACCCATTATGTTTTCTTAAATTATTATGTAAAGTCTTTAAATTTTAAAATATAAATTGACTCTCAAAATAATCTAATGT